TGGTAATCTGGGACAAACTTAATCAACCCTGTCGACCATTATCCCTTAAATATTGTGGTAAAACGTAGTCAAACTTTTTTTACTCATCATCCACACAAAAAATAAATAAATTGAAATAGCCTAGTCAGGGTTTTCTACTGCGACAGGTAAAGAAGACCTACTTGTTGGGATCGGCTCCTTTAAAGAAGGTGTTGACTGTTTCTGTGAACGCAGCCGCCACAGGAAGTGTGTCCTGAGCTCCCATGGTGAGAGGACTGGGCCCTCGAGAGCAGCCTACGAGGAACCAACCCACACGTACACATTTGTAATTAAAATAAATGCTCCACTGTTGCTGTTTGATTTGTTGAGGTTACTGTCAGAAACAGATAGACATTCAAATTATAACAATTTTTTAATTCTTAAACCTAATTTTGATATTAATATATCCGAACTTCAGCCCTGAATACAAACACATCAGCAGAAATCATGAAAAATAGATGATCCAAATCTTAAACTACGCTCTCTGTATCAAACTGTGTGTGGAGAAAATAAGGAACGAAACATGAACAAATTAAGAGCGATGACATGAAATGAAACAAATACTGGTGTTAGTAAAGAGGCAAGAAAACAGCACGTTATATGTACGGATGACATTTCTCTCTGCTCTTTGACTGTGAACTGCTTCCAATGTCTCCCTCAGATTAGATTTCTACACAGTGGGTTATATATGTCTGTTTTTAACTGAATAAGCACAGCTGGATGTTTTAAAAAGAGACAGAGGCAGACAGAGAAAGGCAGATGCGCATGCGTACTCCAGACATGCTGACAATTTGTGTTTTTTGGACAAGATCAAAGATCATCAGAGAGCCCAAGATCAAACACCCGACAGGTAAAATGATGACAGTACAGAGAAAAGTGATTAGTAAAGTAGACAAAGACTGATGAGTCTTTAGGGAATGAATCAGTGCAGACGTGATGAAAATGAACATCATCATCAGAAGAAGTTAGAGGGAGATATTGCACCGAATATCTGGCTCTAGGTGAGGGGGCTCAGTCGGGACGATAGCATGGCCAGGGTTAGGGTAATGAAGGGATGATGATGATGGAGGAGCCGAGAGGGGAAGGAGGAAAGGGGGAGGAGAGAAGAAGGCCAAAGCTTGCACGAATGAGCCTCGTAATAACGTGTGTGCACGCTACCCTGTTGCAGAGAAAACTTACCTTCAAAGGTTAAATAAAACTTCCCTCTGTCAAACCATACAAGGGATGGCTGGTCATTCTCTGTGAGGGTTCGAGGGTAGAGGGAGGGGGGGGTCGGGAAAGGAGGACGAGGAGGAGGGAGGAGGTACAGGGATGAAAGGTGGGGAAGTGGGTGAAGAGGGGTGAGAGGGGCAAGGAGAGAAGGACAGTAGCGTGAGTCTCACATGGCAGGTCTATTACACGTCACAGTGAGGTGAAACGTGGAGGTGGAGGCTGGGGGCGAACGAGGACAAAGGGTCGAGGAGCATGTGACGAGATGGGTGATACACAGTGGTCTTTTGTTTGTTTGTGTTGGGGGGGCCAACGTTTTCTCCAGAGCAAAACATTAGAAACAAGCTGACGTTCCAATTCAGTGACTTTTCATCAGCAGATACCCGAGTGTTAAAACTGTGACCAGGTCTCACAACAGGCCTTCAATTATGAAACACACTGACGCTATGCATGAGGATGGTCTGCAGAGGGAAGCCATGAGGCTGAGATCAGACGATAGCAGGGAGGCGGCGAGACTGTTTCAGGTGCAGATGCTTTTACAAAGACACCTGAACCGCCCTCACGGACACCAGGGGAAAAAAGAGGATGGACTCAGAAAGTCCCAATTAGTTACCATCATACAACAGAAATAGATAAACAGCTTAAACCAAATTAAACCATATTTCAGCTCATTTTCTGACTTTTTTTAATAACATAATAATAACATGGTAATGAACCTGAACACTGGTGGATCCTGTTTTCCCCCCAAATGCATTTAAAAGAATAAGAAACGTTAAACTGGAGCAGCAGTATTTTCCAATGATCTGCACTCCAGCTCTAATGTGACTCCAACAGGTCTGACGGATGAAAGATTGTGTACTTTTTTGTCACGCTGACACTGTAAACTTTGCAAATACTCCAAAAACAGGGGAGGCCTGTTCCTCTCCGTGCTATGGCTCCTGTGACTAAAGGTCTGGGAGGACTGAGAGTGTCGGGTGATGGAACGATGAGAGCAGACTGCTTCAGAAAAAGAACAAAAGGGCAGGTGTTCAGATGGGGAAGGCGGGGGTCCGGTAATATGTTGGTCTCTATGTTGAAGAGAGCGTGGGCGACAGGTGTGAAAGGTGAGCGTCAGAGGTCAAGCGTGGGAGCAGACCGATGCTTTACAGCCTGGTTGAGAGATTGGTTGAACTCGAGGCCGTGTCGTGCACTCCTGTTGTAGACCGAGGACGGCATGAATACCAAGCAGCTGCTGCCTGTCGAATTCAGCCTAAATCTCACGCCAGGCTTCAGATGACTCTAAGCAGGAGCGCTGATCTGACGGTACGAGTGAGCTGTTGAGTTTGAGTGTGCGTGAGAGGAAAAAGACGATGTGGATCTCGAGGTCCGACAAGATAAAGAGCTCCTCAGACATGCTAACAGCACACAAACACTCAAACACACTCTTGTGCTGCAAACTGAGAGCAAAGGTATCTGGGAGCAACCGCACTGCACGCACAATATGTGTCGCCAAGAGACGAGACAGGAGGTTGCCATGGGAACATGGCGAGACAGTCACTGGTGCACAGTCATAAAACAGAGAGAAAAGTCTTAGAAGCGGGCAGATGGGCCGGGGGGTGGGGGGCACTTTTTTTTTTTGGAGTACTATGCAGTAGATTCAGCTTTTTGTGTCACCACAGCTTTCGTTTTTTTTCCTGGCAGATTTCACTGTGACATCCAAGAGAATGAGCGAGGAAGACGAGGAAGAAATGACAAAGATATGCAGATAAAAAGAGACTGTTAAATGCATTCGATGGCTGAGAAATGCGTGGGAAGGTAGTAAAACAATGTAGAAGTGGTGGTTTCGCTGAAAAATGATGCCGTATTCAAAAGGAAAAGAAATAAAGTATGTCTGGTGCGTCCTCACATCTGTGCACGAATCATAAAGCAGATGAGTGAAAAAAGGAGGTGTAAGAAACATGATTTGGTATGCACTGTGCTTCTAAAGCCTGACAGGAGGCTACAAAACCTGTTGACCTCCATCTAAAAAAGGCACAAAACACTCACTGATGGCCTTTACCCTTCTTTGTGCACTGCGCTCCGGGTAAAGAGCATCCAAATCCAAAAACTCTCAAAACAAGCACTCACCAAACCCTTACCTAACCCGCCCCCCGTCCCCATGTGGAGGAGGAGAGGGGGGGTGCTTTACCCTACCTGCAAACGAATCAAAGTGTCTCTCAAAGGTGGGAAGTTTGTCTACATATACATCATCCTCTGACGAGCCAAAGAGACAAACAGCAAAAAAACAAAAACAAATCAAACCGTGAAAGACAACGAAAATGATCAGAACTGTGATGCACATTCAATTCAAATGGGAGAAAAACAAATGTAGTCAATTATAATAAATATGCTGATGAAAATACACAATTTAAAAAAAGTGGGGAAACTTTAAAGGAGCTATTAGAATATTTCATAATAAGCAGCTTCCGAGATTGTTTCCATGCACAAAGAATGCAGATTAAATTAAGCGGCTGTAACAGAGACCTCTGTAAAAATGTCATTTATTCAGTCTGTCCCTGCAATTTGTTTAAGAGGAAAAAAAGCACCCTCCAATCGGGGACTAGATTCTGCTTTTACATAACTGCTGCCTCCAGAATGTGTATTTATTTATTTTTTTAGTATTATGACTCAGCTATGTTACAGTCTACTGAGATTTGCCATTATCCACTAAAAGCTGCACTGCGGGCTCCTTTAAAACCGACTCTAAAGTTACCAAGGAGTAGAAATTGTTGTTGTGTCACTAATTTATTTAAGGATGGTTTGCACTTTAAAATTTTCATATTCTCACCTCCTACTCACACCCTGCATGAAAATAAATTTCCCCGTGTTTGCGTGTTAACTTGAATCAGATACTATATACTATATCTATATCTATCTATAGATAGATATAGATAGATATCTATATCTAGATAGATATCTATCTATATATATCTATGCAAGTGTGAGCATGAAAATGAATTTCCCCGTGTTTGCATGTTAACTTGAATCAGATACTATATCTATCT